CGGAGCCTTAAAGTTTTACCAGTAGCGTTGATTTTACGGAGCGGGGTGGGGTGGGGGTTGCCAGCCTCACTCCCAATCTTCCTACATTCCCGAACCGGTTAAGCGAGGTTTAGGAGAGCGTCCTCTGGGAACCATGTGCGTTGCTGGCGTGTATTCTACCACTAAACCACTGATATTCTAATCTATGCATTCAGAAATGTTGTAGTATACAGTTAACGGTATTAACCATGCAGATATCCACAGCATAAGAAGGTAAATAACCAATCTAGAAACATCTCATGAAGAGTATTAAAACAAACTGTAATACAAACCGAAATTGTGATAGTAATGATAATCACAATAGTAATTTAACACGTGACAGATAACATAAATACACAAATATACAATCACAGATACTGCAAAATGACTAAATGTCAGGTTTAATGATACTAATAACAGTGATAATAGTAATAATAATAATTCAATGCAACAAAGTTTATAACATATCTGAACAAAGGTGTAATACCAAATTTTCAAGTATTCTGTTTATATACTTTGTAGTTGGATTAGAAAAAACACTCATTCTGAAATGCGTCAATGCATTCACAATTACAATAGATACATAGTGATATATATATATATATATATATATATATGAACAAACGTAGGACGCCTACATAACTTATAACCGAAATAAGTTATACACTTCGCACTGTAAAGCCGATATCAGTCATGAATTACAGGTACTATATAATAATAATAATAATAATAATAATAATAATAATAATAATAATAACAATAATAATAATAATAATAATAATAAATACTGTCTTGTATCTTAGTTAGTTAGCCGACAAATAACCACAGAAAATGATATTTCATGTGATATTGTTACACAGTTGGTTGATTAGTTGTTAAATAATTTTAACGTGTATAAGAAAAAGTACATAAATACAGGATTACATTAATCACCAATGTATGGTAATGCTTCCATTCTTCCGTTTAGTTATCAGAAAAGAGAATCTTTTTTTAAATAAAAACAATATGAATGAGATACTTTAATACATCCTTAAGCATATTACATACACTATAACCTTTGTTTAATTTCTGCTAGCCTACAGGTTGAAGTTAATTGCTTGAGAGAAGCGCAAAATTCTTCCTACCAACTTTGGGAATAGATATCTAAAGGGGGGAATGAATGCACCAATCAACTTAAAACACATATACAAGTGATCTAAAAAGGTGAATTTTAGACCCCTGCCTATTATATAATTATTCTTATCCACTTAGGTTTTGAGTGGAACATAGGATTTCAATAGCTCATCTCTTCCTCGAACAATCTCCTTCATGTCACCTTCAGATGCACGGCCAACTACTCGTTGTTTCCCATCTCTGTTCCAGTCAAGAGCCTGAATGGTGCGTGGTGTCATTCAACGGTCTTCTCAGTGGGTGTTCAACCCATCTGCATTTTTAAGGCAGATTTAATAAGTGATGGGTTCGCGGCAGCTTTGTTGACAGAGTTTATAGTTGCCTGTCCTTTGTTAGCCACCTGATCTTCGGTATGCAGTAAAGACAGTTGTTGATAAAAGTTTGAAGTCTGTTGGAAGTGAATTTAGTGACACGAAAAGTCTTTGAACTACATAGAAGAACTGACTTTCCCCAATCTAAACTTAAACTAACCAAATATCCTGCCTGATATTCTTATAATTCTTTTTTTTTTACTATCTTACTGTGTATGCAAGCTTCAAGGTTATCGGTGTGTTTGTTCCATTTTTCACTATTCTTTACGTTGGTCACCTTTTCGTCAACCTTCATCACCATCATCATCAATAAGGGTGAGACTAATAGTTAGTCAGGGCGTCTTAACAGATTGTCAACGTTCTGGTAGTACACTGACAGCCTCTTATCATTCTGCGATAAAGGCATCATGTTTTTGTCTTATACAACAAGAACAATAAACATTATAGGATGGAATTCATTTAGTTGAATTTCATACAGTGTCCTCTAAATCTTGGACATTCATATTAAATTTGTGTACAATTTAACAGTTTTACAATGTCACTATCAAATGCAAATAATTATAAAATAGTTCGGTGGTAGTATCAACAAAAATGACATAGTTCATGACCTGACTTAGTTTTTAACATAGAATACCGCACAAAAATTTAGCCATGAACTGATTACTCATCAAAAACAAAGGTACACATCGTTATTAATACAACAAATCATGCCGTGAATTCGATTCAGACAAAATAAAATAATAATTTAGCATAATACTGATAAGGTGTGACTAGCATTGGAGTTGTGGTAAACAGAGCAGTTAAGATATAACAGACATTGGCATTATAAGGGGTAAAATAATGGTAAAAAGTGAGGGATAGACTAAGAAACAAAATTACTCTGTGTAATAAATATACTGGATATATGTAGTATAGAGAGAATGGAGCAAAGAGAAAATGGTTTGTATAAAGAAATAGCAAATTACTAAGGTAATGAAAAGTAGACCACGAAATCCTTTAGTACACATAGCAATAGGACCTTGAATCATAGGCTTACTGCCGCTTCTGCATAATGCAGTAATCTACTATTACTCTGTTTATAAACTAACCAGAAAGCTGTTCTACATACATCGATCAATAGCACTGTTATGTACTGTTCCACTTAATGAGAATCTTTTTGCCACATGTTCAGAAATAAGATAATTTAATATGAGCATAAGTCATCAAATCATTGCAATTAAGTGGCAGCCTGATTGGCATGTAGGCCAACTGTTAGAGCATCGGACTGGCAGTTCGGAAGCTAATTGATTCCAATCTCGCAGATGACCATTTAATCATCACTTATTAAATCATTCCCACAAGTCGGTTGAACATTTCACGATCCGATAACGGGATTTGTATATGTGATTGTTCTTCACCACAAAAATAAAGCAGAAGTAAAAAAATCAGCAAAAAGAAGGAAAAGCCAACCCACCAGAGTGAGAGATGATTGAAAAGAGACCGAAACAAAAATGTAGATAGATCATTAAGAAGGACAAATAAAGATTGCTTAAAGATATTCATTAAAAAAATTTTAAAAGACTTATTAGTGAACTGTGAGAATATTCTGTTCGACATCTTCATCACGTTTTACAGTTATAAATCCACGATAATTAAAGGGTAATTGTCATTGACAAAATCAATGCCTTTTTTAAAAATAAAATCGAATCATTAAGACTAATAGATTGCAGATCGAAACTGATAATAAGCCTATCAGATATAACACCAGACTGAATATCAGATAAATTAAGGGAGATAATACAGTATTTATGAATTTACATATCCTATAGTATGCCAGGGTAGAAATAGTGGCTGGACATGTTACTTTTGCACACTGTTGTAGTATTCGGTACCTAGAGGTTTTCGGCAATTTATATAATATCCGATAGATGATACGAAAAAGTTGCTCAATGTTGGCTTTATGGATAATTTGGACTAGGTGGTGGGATATCGAACTGTTGATAGTTTTTAATACGCCTTTATTTAACCACACTGGTAGCTTTCGCCAAGCATAAATCACAGCTGTTCTGGTCCATTTCGTCATTTATAGTCACTAACCACTTCTTTTTGGTTTTAGAGACATCACATATACCAGTCAATCACACAGAATAAGTTAACAGCTGATTAATCAACTTTGCGATTGTCCTCATGGTTTTCTTCGACATAGCTTTCCATATACGCCTACAATTTATTTTTAGTGCTCATTCAACAATGCTTGTTCGAAGTCAATTACCTGAACCAGGCTGCGAACCTGACTTATTTAATGAGTTAAATAATACTACCCAGTTAAGTAGAACCAACTGGCTGGAAGCCAAGTGGTTAAACCAGTGAGCAATGTCTTCACAAGTAGCTGAATGGTTGTCAGTGGGCTGTCGCCGTAACTTGAAGGTCCTAGATTCAATCCTCGGTGGCGTCACGGTTGCTTATTATTGAATGTTTTCCAAGCATTGGTTTTTGTAGGGATTTTGTTTGGTTGGTTGGAGGATTTCATTATGAGCTGACATCAGTTAGAGAACCATTGGAAAACCGAATGGGACTACTGGGCAGTCGTTTCGTTTTAGTTCGAGACTCTTCATCAGTGCGCACCCACTGGGGCTCGAACCCAGGACTCCTGGTTACAAGGCAACTCGTAGACCATTAAGCCAGTGGGACCCGGTCCGACGGCCAATGGATTCTAACTTCTGCCATTTCATCACATAGCGCGACCACTTCGCAATGTCTTTTTCGATGAGTTATTGCTTCACCTTCAACCCACTATTGAATAGTTTACAACTAAATTTAACAATAATTAAAGATCATCCAGTTAAGTGATAGATTTATTTTCCTGACGATTATTATTAGCAAAAATGTATTTACTCTGAAGAATATTTTGTGTGATCACCTGATACTATTATTAGAAGTTTGTTTATTTTAAATTGTCACCTGTAAAACAAAAGGTGCTGTTAGGTCGGCAACTGTGCAGTGGAACAAAAAAGCCACATTAATTATGCAGCAGAGATACCGAAATTCTCCAAAATAATCTTATAAAAACTAGATGCGATGCCAAAAGTTAGGTAATATAATGGATGAGAGATGAATAGTATAAGACATGAACCGCAGGTCCTAGTTGCTTTATAACCACTAGCGTACCTATATATTTGAGCTGATGATGATATTACCCAACTAACAAAAACCCAGTTGGTGGAGCAGGTTTCGAACCAGTGACTTGACAGCGCAAGTTCAACATCCAGACTTATCAACCATAGCTCCAAATACGACAAGTAGAACCACTGTAATATATGTTTACCATTTGATATAATACAAAAAAGAAGCACATAAATGCCAGCGAAACAGATTACCAATTTTACCCATCCTCATAGACAGTTATAAATATTCTTAAAAGTCTACCTAATGCCGACGTGTCATAAGCACAAATAAGTTTGCTTTGAATAGTTGTTTAAAAAAAGGGTTCATTAAATCGAGAAGAAACGCAATTCAACTTACCGCACTCAATGTATCATCTGAACTACCAGCTGTAGCAAAAAATGGTCGAAGAGTTGGACGTGGTGTACTTTGAATTGACACTAAATTGATACTTTCAGCATCTGAATCCTCTTCTATATCACTAACTGTTGCCATACGATCAATTTCATCCCATAGTTTTGATGTAGCAGCCACGTCTAAATCAACCTGAATATACATTTATCCAAAAGAAATATGTAGTTAATTACTAACAGACAAAAATAACACAACGTCGTGCAATTATGTCTAAAAAATCGCAATTTATACTCAGGTAACTACTACTAAAAATTTTCTGACGGTGATAGGATAGGAACATTGTAGATTATTGGAGCATGCCTTGGATCAAAACAATAACACTTCAGTTGATACATTATGGTTAGTCAAATTACTAGAAGATTCTGTTGAAAATTTTTTTATTTTATATAAACGCATTCTTCACAATAAAGCTACTCTTATTATTAAAGTACACTGAGGAGTACTGCCTTCCTTAGCTCCGATTAGATATACGGACATACATGTAGCTACCGAAGCAGACACATTAGAAGAACAGAAAAAATTGCCAATCTTAGATTTTCTGAACAATAAGGTTGATAAAGCAAATAATTGATTAGTGTAGTCACCCGACATTTGATTGATGCAGCATATGAGGTAGGCGTCCTGAATCCCTTCAAAATAATAGACAAACAAACAAGCTCAAACATCTTGAGGTTCCCACAGACCATTGCGATCAAACAAATTGAGAGCTGACTTATGTAATCAAAAAGGAAGCTACAGTAAGTTTTTCTCTACTTTAGTAAGCCATGTATTCACCTTAGTTGATCATACAACCTTAGTGGTACTTAGTTACACCATCATTTATTAAATGATATGCTTCATATGTCTGATATCTAGCCAAATGAGAATATTCGATTGTTGGTTTGCAGGGATTTGAGTGGTTACAGGATTTCATCATTAGCTGACATCGATTAGAAAACCATTAAAAAACCTGGGAGTACTGGACAGCTGTTTCGTCCGCCTAGTTTGGGACTCCTCAACAGTTCGCACCCGCCACAGGGATTCGAACCCGGGACCTTTGAGTTACAAGACAAGCTCGTAGACCAATAAGTCACTGGGACCCGATCCAATGGCCCATAAAATTTCTACTTCTGTTAATTTGCGATACAGCTCGACCACTAGCCATTGTCATCGGTGGCGAGTATTTGTCCTCACACCCGACCTGCTGTACCCTATTGGTCACCATATTTTTTCACATTTTATTCGCTCAGTAATGATTTCTATAATCTTCTAATTGAAGTCCTCAATAATGCCGTTTGGTTTTCTTTGCTCTCCACTTCTTGATTTTTCCCTCGAGAAATTTAAATCGCACTACGTATGGTAATTACAGCAGTATCTTTTACATTTTTACTAACTAAACACCTCAATACATCTCTACATACACACAATAATGATTCTTAATTACTGTTCAATATTCATTTACCCAATGAACTAAAGAATGTCAAAATTATAATAATGAAACTAATTAACTTTCATTATTCGGAGAGTATTCAGTTGACAAGATACTACTAATAAATAAGGGTTAAGAAAATTTACAAAACAATATGAGGATAAAATAGAAAAATCTGTTGAAGATGTTTCAACTATGGGATTAACTGATGACTGATTGTAAAAATGAGAGACGGGAAAAAATAACCTGAAAGAGGTCAAACGGTCATTCTTTTATTTTAAACACTAATTCTATTTCTAGTTTAATAGTAGAAATTAGGCGGATCTTTGTTGCGACCTTGTTGTCATTATTCGAATAAAGTAAAGATATCCTTTACAAATAGATGCAATACACACTATTATAAAATATTAACAAGTTAGAAGAAAATATTGAAGGATACAAAACGTATTAGGCAACACAGTGTTTACTGTAAAGAACATGAAGGATAGATGCGTAAAAAATCTTTCGAAAATATATCCATACTTCCTGTTGCAGATATATATATATATATATATATATATATATATATATATATATATATATATACCAACCATAGCGGTCAATAACTCGCCCCCTTTTCCGCATAGTGAGGCTTGGGCATCCCTTACACTCACAAACACCCACACAAACACACAAAAGGTGTGATTGATAGTTGTTTTACTGTACATAATGATGGGAATTTCACCTCATCTAATCCTTCCAATATTTATTAGATAAAAAGTTGTAGGTAAATACCTCTGGCAAAAGATTGCTAAAATAAATTAAACACAGTTATCATTTCCTTCCCACACATGCTATAATGATCAAAACTAGAACTCAGTAATAGTATGTACCCCACAGGATGCGTCACACAGTCTCATAGTTTGTGTGAGTATTAGGATACCGCCCAGACTCTGAGACCGAAACGATTGGTTACCTTGATGAGCACGCCCCGTTTCAAGCTTTTGACTTCACAAGGTAGCGGAGCAACGTCAGCAGCTACGTTTCAATGGTTTCAGGTGACCAAACCGCGTTCATACGCCATTTGATCCGCTTGGATTCTGCAGTCCATGTAGCACCATAGCTTTGTAATCAGGGTTTTCCAGCTTCACTATGTAGGCTTGCATGTCGACCAGTTCGGTTGCAAGCGCCAGACATTCGTTTAAGCCCACTAACTTTTATGAGCAACAACCCCACTGCGTGAAGGTAGGGAATAGGACTCAAATGGCAGATATTATGAACGCGTGGCTATATGAGAGTATTTCGAGGTGAAGATCGAAGTCTACTCCCCCCCAGCAGTACTAAGTCGTTTACAGTGGGCATATATATGTAACATCTCTGAGGTCGCTCTTTCTTTACACGGACAAAAACCTTTCTGTAGAACCTTAGTCTTGTCAACACCGATTTTGTGTCCCATTTTTATCGAGTGTAGTGAAAATGCTGATTTGTTTTCTAGTCCCTTCAAATCCACTGAGGTGTTTAGAACTACCATAACCCATTGTTTATGTTCTCTCGCTCTTATCACTGTGCCAAATGAAAGGTTGGAATCATTTATTTCGATTTCTCTGAGATCTATTCAAACGTAATTTTTGCATATATCTGATTTTCACTACGCGGCCTATTATTTTGGAACTAATTGGTCAAATCTTGATCATAGTTTGTGTAAAAAAATTCATAATAAATATTATAATATACATAATAACAAAAAATCGAGTGGTTTCAACTGATTTGGCTGTCTGAGCTGAGTAAGGTCGGGTACACACCTAATGAGCACGGCCTCAAACGACAGAGACAGCCATCCGGTGTCAAGATCACTTCGATCTAGCTGGTTAGTAAGCACTGATGGTTAATATGAATGGTATCCAGCTACTTATCTCAGCCAATCAGTAGTATATAGTCTAAAAACTCTGTTTAACACTGATTAAAAGCAGCACAAGGGAAATAATAATAATAATCATTAGCGTTAAAGGTGAACTAACATTTTGTACAGACTATATTTGGCGTACATAATTGAATGCAGTTGAGAGGAAAAAAAGTCGTTTTTCTGTCAACTTCAATTAATAAATGAATATAAAAATGTGTAAACTTTATCACTTAATGTTAAATTAGGTGAAATGAAAAAAAACAACCAAACAACAAAAACTATATCCATCATGAACTCACCTCATTCGGATCACCTATTTTTAATTTCTTCAATAGACCAATTAATTTTTGTTTAATCTGTTTTTGCTGTTATGGAAAATGGTAACAAATAATAAAATAAAAACAAGAGGAATATGTGAGTAGTTAAAAAAAAAACACCAATAACTAATTAACAGGACTGCTATACTCGAAGATTATTGTTATATAAGATACAACATTAGTACGAAATGAAATATTGTTAAAAAATAGCAACCAGTGCGAACAGTTTTCTAAATGATGTTGAAACAACCAATGAAATCATTCAATCAAAGCAAATTAAATTCGGATACTGGAAATCTATGATACTTTTCTATGTAGAAAAGACTCCAGAAGTGATTTTGGTTGGTTGTGACTATCAATGGAATCCAGGACGTCCACTTCATCCTATTCGAGGTTCGTCAATCGGATGTACCTACAATCCACAATGAGTCATCACTCATGATTTTCCTACTGAGATTCGAATACTGCATTCATCATTTCAAACTAGGACCCAAGAACCATTTCTCGTGTGCAACTGCCTTTAGTTATGATAAATTTTGCAAATTAACTTGAAAACAAATAATCCCAGAATTGAGGTAACGCTGATACTGAAAGAGAATAATGGATCCAAGGATCAAATAATTCACAGCCACCTCGATAAGAGTACATGTGGAGAGACGTGGGTTCCACTTCTGTATTGGATTATCCTATGAGATATTGAGAGATATTCTTACAACAAGTAAAACAGAATTATTGCATGTAAAACTATGTTTTCAAATACAACTTTTAGAAACAAATTTAAATTTTTTAACACTTTCCTTCACTCTGATTGTCAGCTCTAGGACAAATTTGAAAGATTTCCCATCTGAACTCCTATTATTTAACTTCAACTTTAAGGCTAGCATTATATGTAGCAGTTATTTTCTATTACTTTGCGTCCCGGGTGAAACATAAAGCTCCAGACTTAAAAGCCTTGAAGTTTCAGTGGTCACAGTGCTGTTTTCATCGGGTGGGTTTCTAGCTTTATGTACAAAACCTTCCCTCTTTCACAAACTGAATGACCATCAATTAGTAAAGTAGGAGAGGTCTAAGGATGCACTGACCAGCAATCGAACCCTGGGTCACGTGGATGGTTGACGAGCATTCTAATATTGAACCATTAAGGGTTTATTAATATTTTTGGCAAAGTAGAGCATATTTACTGTATTGTATTACGTTGCAGTAATTATTCAGCAATTAGATTCCTAAGAATTTATTCAATTACCAAACCAGTCGTTGGGGAAAATGCTCAAATATCTTCTAACTAAAGATTGTACTATTAAACTATAGCGTAAAGTGAATATCCTCAAAGTGATTCACTTCATTGTTATACACATCATTTAGATTTTTTAACTCGCATATAGCCTGCCGAAGCAGATACATTGAAAAAATAAAGACCAATCTTAGATGTTTTGAACGTAAAATGAAGAGGGAGTTAACCTTAGAGCAGCACAGTCAGATGAAATCCGATTTATGCAGCACATGAGGTAGGCATTTTAAATTCCTTCAAGATGATAAACAAACAAGCAAGGTTAAACTTCTTGAAGTTTTCAGAGATCATCGCTATCAAGCAGTTAAAAGTTGACTTATGTATTCGATAAGAAATCGTGTAAGTCTTTCTCTGCCTTGGTAACGTTTTTTCGAACCAAAATTGATAATTTTATCTTATGTTAAATATCTAGGGAAACGTCTTTTCACTCTCGTTTCTTTACATCGCTTATTAAGCGCGTCGATGGTGATTCAGTGGTAGGATGCTTACCAACGACGAACGTGGTCTGGGTTCGATTCCCAAACGACGCGCATCAATGACCCAGTAGTAAACCCGGTAGAGAAGGAAGTTTCGACGTGTACTTAGCTACCATAACCCGTAAAAAATTAAACATCACTGCTAATAAGACTTCATAACTGAAAGTTTAAGCATTATATTCAGCTGGGAAAGCGGCAAAATGAAAAAAATGTTTCCTATCTTTGGCATGTAACCAGACGAACTGATGTCTTTCTTCTTGTCGCTAATAACATACATTCTTTTTAGTAGGTATAATCATTATTATCATCACACAATCATCATTCGAGCTTTTTATTTAAATATACTAAGCATTTTCATATGGATACGCAGGACACATTTTACCATATATTTGATGATAGCAGAAATTTTGATGCAGTTGTGTCTTCTGAGTTGGATGGTTTACTCGCTAAGCTTTAATTGCCCTACTGGGCAACATCTTCAGCTCATGCTTCAATTTGAAGTGAGCTTTTAGATTTCTCCACGAGTTTATTAGTCATCTCTTCTGGTGACCTTATACGTAATTGATTGCTCTTGTCTGTCTTCACACCCTCTAGTCTACTTGTATTGGTATTGATTGTTTCCTTGACCTGAAGCTCACTTCAAATTGAAGTATACGCTGAAGATGCTGCTTTTTAGGGTAATGAAAGCTTCTCGAATAAACCATCTAGTTCAGAGAACACAACTAGGTCAAAATCATCTACCTAAGCTACAAATCTTCTCCATTAGATCTAATAGCAGAAAAAGAAAGAAAAGTTCAACAAAAGTTCCGATAAAATGGGTTCACCAAAAGAAATGTTTAACCATAGCTTTAAAACATGAATATTACTGTGTTTAATTATTCGACGAAACTTGAGAAAAATAAGTTAAGGAAAACAATAGAGGTAAACAAAGCTAGTGCATACAGTATTCACCATTCTATAAGTAGAGGAAAAACAACTCATAATCTTAAATTTCCATCCTCACTTCAATTTGATTAGCAACACATCACAGCAACTAGTTTTGTTTCTATCCAGGTGACAGTTAACCACACCTTTTGTGTGTATGTGTGTGTGTGCGATGACGGCTATCGATACTACCTGGCTATCCAAACCTCAGTATATGTGGAGTAGGATTCATACCAGTGAACCCATAGTTAGAAGTCAGACGTCTGGGCCAATAAGCCACGACTCCGCTGATTGCAGTATTAAACTATTAGAGGGATAATTTGTGAGTAAGATACGTCTATCCATGCATGTTTATCTGGTAGTCAAACTTTCCTCTACTTTTTATCCACTTAAGGTACACAATTCTGATATTAAAATTTCAACATACTACTTAATTGATAAAGTTATGCTCCATCTTATGTGTAACCTTATACACTTGAAAATTACAGTAGTTTTTTGTCAGTGTATTGATTTACTAAGATCGAATTTTGAGCATTTTTTGACGAAAGGAACACAGTGGAAGGAAGTCACCTATCTTTCACTTACTCGGGCGGCATCATTTCAGCCACCGGAGGCACAGATGAGAATGTCAGTCAGGATCGCAAAAGCAAGACATACCCTCATTACTCTAAAATCAGTTAGAAAATCTACTGCAATCAGCATAAGGAACAAGATTCGGATCTTCAACACTAAGATCAAGTCATTCAGTATTTCTATACGGATCAAAGACTTGGTGAGTCACAAAAAGGATTACCAACAAGCAATTGCAGAATTTTATCAAGAACTGTTTTGGCTCCAGACGGGAGATGAAATGACCGAAGAAGAACTTTGACAAGAAGCCAGTCAAGAAGTTGTCAATCAACAAATATGCCAAAGGAATTGGAGATGAATTCGACACAGGCTGAGAAGATCATTGGGTAATATCACACACCATTCAGGCACTCGATTGGAAACTGAATGGGGAACAACAAATTGTCCGACTGTGACGTGCAGAAGATCGTATGAGAAAGAAATGAAAGGTTATGGGCAACTGAGGAGTCAGCTAATGGGGACTGTACAGAACAGAGTGAAATGCTGATGTGCTATTGAAGGCCTATGTTTCACTCAGAACCCAAGAAAATAATAATAATAACTATGTATGATGTCGATATGACCATCAGCAGTGTTTTCCAACAATACAGCACATATTAACGCCTATTAATACCAAATATCCGATTAAGAAAAGTTAACCGAATAGACAGCGAACAGAGTGACACAACGAAAATAGTAACTATGGTTTACTCAACATCAAAAAGTCATATAATAAAAATATACATATAACTGTTGAATGACGCATTGTTTCACAAACTGTATGTAAAGATAAGCAATGCTATCTGATATATATATATATATATATATATATATATATATATATCCAAATAGAAGCAGTTATCAAACGCGTTTACTTTGTTAACGATCTATATGAACACCCGAAAGTAAACAGTTTACAACTCCTGTTAAGAATGTCAGAGCATAAGAATAGACAGCTTAAAATGTTGTTAGATGGTTAGACAAAAGAAAAACGAAGAAAAAAAATTGTCAAACTTCCACTTACATTTACACACTTTGAAAAGCAAAAAGGGTATAAAGTTAGAAAAACTAATATTTCCAGAAATTCGTTTTTATCCTCTTGGTGATATACACTGATGATATAAGGTGAAGAAAATAGCCACAAGACGAGTTGTAACAACAGAAGACAAGGGCCAGGCAACAGATCGTTTATTAAGGAAATCAACACATATTTATAGATTTTCATGTACATTATTATAGATTATTGTTAGCAGAAAAACACAGTCTTCTGATAGATTGTTTCTCACAGAAAGTTAACCTTGCATCTCTTTGTGGCTGTTACTTGAATGTCAGATCATCTATATGTTAACTGTATCCGCCTACTCAAAGACTTTGTTCTCATGTTTCTCACGACCGATATTGGGGACATAAATATTGACGTAAATTACTGTCCATTAATTTTCACTAACAGCCAGCTCCCACCACACTCGTTCCCCAGACAAAAACTTGCGACTGAAGTTGGTTCGGTCTTCTTCGCTGTAGGGGCTTTGCTCGTTTGTGTTGCTGTCTGGAATCTCGGCACTCGCTGATGTTCACCTGTTTCTCTTTGTTTATCATTGGGATTGTGTCTGCGTAACCCTATCTCAACGTGACCATATGTGGTCCTTCCCAATTTGAGAACTGTTTGCCTGACGCAGTCTCACATTCGTCGGTATTTCGCCTCACACTCCCATATGGTACTTTCTTCCGACTTCCCAGAGGCGTCCCAAGCAATAGCCTCATCACTGATTGATCCTACACGCCACTAGACTGCGAGGAAGCCTCGAATTCCTGCTCGAAGATCCATATGTCTCCATCAAAATCTGCAGGTCATAGGCTTTCCATTTGTCGGTTTGGCCGCGACACTAAATGTAACAGAGTTATCTAATCCCCTCCTATTTACTGTTCGAACAATTCAAGTGAGGCAGTATAAAAAGTTAAATACTACGTGACTAGGGGCTTGGAAATGTGTTAAACATACCACGTGACAACTGATCACACCGTCTTGTAATCAGTTGTGTCACCTAATCCTTGGAATATGAAGTGGGATTGTCGTGTGTGCCACTGATAAGATTTTATCAGTAGTATATATATATATATATATATATATATATATATGTAAAGCGATGCTCATCAGCATTAAAACATCAAACACCAGGGAGATACATTTGATTTCAGAGAAGGTAAATGATACAGTGTTGAACAGATACATGGGAGACGTCAGAGGAGCACAAAGAAACACACAATATGAAGGCCAGAAGCAGCACAACACGGAAGATCTGTGCAAATGGTGAGTTGGAGATAAGGTGTACATAATTCCGCTATACAGAGATGCCAAATTGCAAAATAAACATTCCTTTATCAAGTCTGTCGTCTTCTACCCTTACAGGATGTGAGTCAATGATCAAACTTTAAGAAATCGAGTGTCATCACTGATGAGTGAAAATTACTTAAATCGTAAGCATCTTTGTTAGCTGTGGAATGACACAACTATGCATCAGAGAATACGATAAGTTGAACTCTTGAATCAAATAATGACGATAGAGCACTTACAGTATTGATCCACAGATCTGTGCATATTACCATGAAACAGTGATAGGTCACACATACAGACACACACATAGTTACACGATAATGATAACAAAATACTCACACCAACAGACATAGCTTTAACAAGCTTTTTTTGACGACTATGCCCAACCATTTCACATTCAGCCATTTGATCCTCATCACTCTCTTCCCCATGATCTGAATCATCTTGTTCACTATAGACATCTGGAAGTGGATAATCTTCATCCTCGTCTACAACTGTTATAGAGATAGGTAAGAAAGAAAGCGGAAACGAAAGTGAATAATCGGTTGATAACAAGGTAATCAGAAATACTTATATGTAAAAGGTAGTGGTTCTATCAGGGTAAAAAAATTAACTGAATAAACACTTCTGTATTTTTTGAAATAACACTTTACAACTTATAACTGACTTCATAAAATTCTTTTAATTGAAGAAAGACATAAAATATATGCATAGGGTACACCGAGAATAAATCATACTTAGTATGCTATAAAAGAGGTTCATGTAACTATTAAAAGAACTCTCCGGCCTAAACAGTTACTTTTAACGCATTTATTAATCTGAAGTTGGTGTGAATATCTACAGCACTTAGTAGGACAAAGAAGATTCAAACTGCAAACAATAATTTCAGAAAATTGATGGATTTCTAACACACTACGAACTGTTTCGTCCTAGTTTGGGACTCTCCATCAGTGAACACCCACCGAGGTTCGCACCCAGAACCTTCTGCTTACAAGGCAAGCGAGCTCGCAGACCATTGAGCCACTGGGACCCGATCCAATGGCCCATGAATTCTAACTTCTACCAATTCACGACATAGCGTGACCACTAGCCAATGGAGACAAAAATTATTCAGAGCACAATATTTGATTTGATGGATGCCATAAGTGGTAATGGCATAAATGCATGACACCATATATATATATACTACTGATCGACTGATATGAGTAGTTGTATACCACTTAAACCAACTAATTTTATTTGATTGGTTTGAGGATTTCTTCATGAGCTGGCATTGGTTAGAGAACCATTGGAAAACCTGGTGAGGTGAGAGCAGGCTGCTAGCCGATTGGTTGGCACTAATCTACGTTAAGGTCTAGGTCACTAATATGGGCCGTGAGAAAATATCAACAAGGCTGAGTCAACAACCAATCAGAAGCCTGCGTTTGTCTACCTAACTTCTGATAAACAACCAATCAGATGACTGCGCTTGTCTATAATAATGTAGTTGAAATATGTATAAATACGTGTTGATTTTCATAATAAACGATCTGTTGCCAGCCCTTGTCTTCTGTTGTTACATTTGGTGTCGCTGCCTACCGACAAATGAAAAGCCTATACCCTGCAGTTTTTGATGGAGACATATGGATCTTCGGGCAGGACTTCAAGGCTTCTGCGCAGTTGAGTGGCGTTCAAAATCTGTCAGCGATGGAGCTGCTACTTGAGACGCTGCTGGGAGGTCGGGTGAAAGCAGCATATGAAAGTGTGAGCCGAAGTATGGACGAATGTTCGACAGGGTCAGGCAAACAGTTTCCAAAGTGGGAAGGACTATATATGGTCACTTCGAGATGGGGTTACGCAGACACAGTCGCAATGGCGAACAATGAGAGGCGCGTGAACGTCAGCGAGCTCCAGAAATGGATACAGCGAGACAAGCCAACGATGACGCCTGCACCAAGTAGATCAAGCCGACTTCAGTCGCACGTATTTGACGGGGGGACGAGTGAGGTGAGAGCAGGCTGCTAGCCGATTGGTTGGCACTAATCTACGTTAAGGTCTAGGTCACTAATATGGGCCGTGAGAAAATATCAACAAGGCTGAGTCAACAACCAATCAGAAGCCTGCGTTTGTCTACCTAACTTCTGATAAACAACCAATCAGATGACTGCGCTTGTCTATAATAATGTAGTTGAAATATGTATAAATACGTGTTGATTTTCATAATAAACGATCTGTTGCCAGCCCTTGTCTTCTGTTGTTACATTTGGTGTCGCTGCCTACCGACAAATGAAAAGCCTATACCCTGCAGTTTTTGATGGAGACATATGGATCTTCGGGCAGGACTTCAAGGCTTCTGCGCAGTTGAGTGGCGTTCAAAATCTGTCAGCGATGGAGCTGCTACTTGAGACGCTGCTGGGAGGTCGGGCGAAAGCAGCATATGAAGGTGTGGGCCGAAGTATGGACGAATGTTCGACAGGGTCAGGCAAACAGTTTCCAAAGTGGGAAGGACCATATATGGTCACTTCGAGATGGGGTTACGCAGACACAGTCGCAATGGCGAACAATGAGAGGCGCGTGAACGTCAGCGAGCTCCAGAAATGGATACAGCGAGACAAGCCAACGATGACGCCTGCACCAAGTAGATCAAGCCGACTTCAGTCGCACGTATTTGACGGGGGACGAGTGAGGTGAGAGCAGGCTGCTAGCCGATTGGTTGGCACTAATCTACGTTAAGGTCTAGGTCACTAATATGGGCCGTGAGAAAATATCAACAAGGCTGAGTCAACAACCAATCAGAAGCCTGCGTTTGTCTATAATAATGTAGTTGAAATATGTATAAATACGTGTTGATTTTCATAATAAACGATCTGTTGCCAGCCCTTGTCTTCTGTTGTTACACTGGTAAGCCGTGACCAGTAGGTTACGGCTGGTCGAGGGTGAGGACACTTACTCACCGAAGACATTTCTAAGTGGTCGCGCTATGTCCTGAGTTGGCAGAAGTTAGAATTCATGGGCTGGCCGTTGGATCAGTCCCAGGGGCTTAATGGTCTACAAGCTAGCTCGCCTTGTACCCAGAAGGTCCTGGGGTTCAAACCCCGGTGGGTGTGCGCTGTGAAGAGTCCCAAACGAGGACGAAACAGCTGTCCAGTACTCCCAGTCAGTTTTCCAATGGTTCTCTAACCAATGTCAGCTCATGATGAAATCCTGTAACTATTCAAATCCCTACAAACCAACACTAGAACACTACGAACTTTCATTAACATCCGCCTTCGCTCCAAACTATAGTTCAAACAACCACAAAGGATTAGCTACAAGGAACTCTAAAGTGCAACAGTTCAACCGAGAACCTATTACCCAATAAATATGCTGAAGGAGATGGAAATGGATCAGACATACGCTAAGAGAACCGTTGAGTGATATCACGCGCCAGTCAGGCCCTCGAGTAGAACCTGAATGGAAAACGACGAGTTGGATATCTTAGGGTGACATGGAAGAGGTCCTATAAAAGGAGGAGATAAGAGCTTATAGTCAACTGTGGAGCCAGCTTAAAAGGATTGTTGATAACAGAGTGAAACGGATGTACTGTTGAAACTCTACACTTCACTAGAAACCTAAAGGAATAATAATGATGTAAAATAAGAGTTGTTTCCTTTACCTTTACGTTTTCCATTTAACAAATCTTTTTCAATCGGTGAACTTGATAAGTATAAAACTTCAATTCGACCAACTGGAAGAGTAGAGCATTTCGGATCAGTGTATAAATCCAAAAATCGATTTTCAATACGACGTTGTAATACCTAAGAAAACAGCAACAAAAGGTGAATTTTCACATTATTAGTAGTGTTAAATAATTTACTTGAAAATGTCAAGCATTATATCGTAATAAAATAGTATCTTAAAATAAGAAAGAAAAAAGTGTTAGCTCATTCAGGTGGATTATTTTCATGTGGTTGCATTCTCTGAGCTTACGTGTGGTTTAATTGAGAAGCTTTCATTATCCATCCAGACAACATCGCTTCAGCGAAAACTTCAATATGAAGTGTGAACTTATTTAAATTCTCGACGAATGATATAAATGTATCTATTTACAATCCTTGTCAATAAAAACGATCCATAAAGGTCTAAATTAACAGCCGATCATGACAAAGGTTGTTGTCAGGAGATACAATTATATCGTTATTCATGGATAATTCAAATAAGTTCACATTTCATATTGAAAACTTTGCGCTGAAGTGATGTTGCCTAGGCGGACAATGAAAGCTTCTTAATTAAATCAACCAGCTCGGAGAACGCAAACCCATATCGAAAATTGTATTCACCCATCTCGACATGTGTATGTGAAAATAAGGTGAATGTTTTTCATTCGTAAATCTTCACCAATCATCGTTCACTTCACCTTAGGTTTTATAGTCTGGCTGGAATTCAAATTTAATTCTCCATTATTATTATTATTATTATTATTATTATTATTATTATTACCACCTACAATGAAAATGTGCTTCTGTTTTCTTCTACACCTACACAAACAAATAATTTTTCCACGTCATCATTTGAATGATTCACTTGTTATTTGTTATTTTTCATCTTTAACATTTTTCGTTTGAATTTCGATTTTATAAAAGACTAACTAATTGCTTGAAATGTATATTATTTTCAAGAGTTGGTTTGCAGGAATTTAAATGGCTTGAAGACAGATTACTAATTGAGATATCAGTTAGAGAAACAGTGGATGAAGGAATGTTTACAAATGGGCTGGGCTCGTAACTTAAAAGTTTTGGGTTCGATACCATGTGGGACCAGGGGTACATACCACTGAAAAATCTAAAAATGAGACGAAACAGCTACCTAGTACTTCAAGAAAGTTTTCAATGGCCCTTTAACCGATATCACTTCTTGATCCAACTTGAAGACATTGCGAAGTGGTCGCGCTATGTCGTGAATTGGCAGAAGTTAGAATTCAAGGACCATTGGATCGGGTCCCAGTGGCTGAATGGTCTACGAGCTCGCCTTGTAACCAGGAGGTCCTGGGTTCAAACCCCGGTGGATGCGTACTGCTGGAGAGTCCCAAAATAGGACGAAACAGTTGTCCAGTACTCCCATGTTTTTTAGTGGTTCTCTAACTGATGTCAGCTCATGGTGAAATCCTCCATGATATGTATATGTTGAAGTACTTTTAAGTGCTACTTCAGTACAGCAGAAGAACACAATATACAAACAAACTGAAAACAGTAAAATGGAGTCCGAATTGAAATGAAGAATTAAATTTCCATACATCTATATATGGCTTGTCTTCATCATCATCGTCACTACTAAATATTCAGCTATTCAGTAATAATTCATTGTAAAGGAGTTAATTTTATTCTGATCATATAATATAAAATGATAATTAATGTCTTACTAATAAGTATAAATTTTTACGAACTATGTTTTTAGGGGAAACAATAGATTGAACTAAGGGTTCCGAGAGGAGCATAGGGCTTTAGAATCACACCCGAGTTAAACTATGTTCTCTGAAGTCTTCTTTCATTTGATTGCGCGACTACTTATAAGCTCCCATTTCCTCCACACACACACACGCACACACACACACGATCTCCCTTATGTCATACTAAGACGTCTAACTCGTTGACAATCATTCTGGTTTCACTCGAGTAATGGTCCGGCGCGCAATGTTACTCGACGGCCTTCTCAGTGTATATCCACTCCATCTCCACTTTCTTAGACCAAAATGCCGCGGAACAGGTTTTTAGTTGGTAAGTTGCTTAAGTTCCTTGTTGCTTATCTTTTCCAAGTGGTCATCTAATCTTCAGAAAGCAGCCAGAGAAGTCAGCTGCTGATAAAAGTCTCCAGCAGCCTGCTGGAAATGCTTTTCATGACACACTAGGTCTCTGAAGCATATAAAAGCACTGGTTTGATATTAGTATTGACGATTCAGATCTTATTTCCCATGCTGAATGCAGCAGGTTTACACACTGAAATATATTCCATTTCACTTAGTTCCCCACCAACGTCCTCTACACGGATATTATATACAAGTTTTAATTGTTTTCACCCCTCAAAACTTATATTTCTTATTGACTAACGTCAATAGGTCTCTGATCCGTATAGTAGCACTGACTTCATATTGGAGTTGAAAATCCGGATCTTATTTTTGATGCTGACCTCCATACAGACTTGAGATTAATGAAAGCTTGTCTTGCCTTTCCGATTCTGGCTTTGATATCCTCGTCAGTTCCGCTGGCCTGTAGTTGAAACGATGCTTCCCAGGCAAGTGAAGGAGGTTGTTTCCTTCAGGTTCCTCCCATTTATGCTGGTTAATTGTTGTCTGTTGCTGTTGGCCGGGAATCATCACCTCTGTTTTATCTATGTTCATATGAAGTCCTAATTTCTCTGGATGCTTCTTCTGCCAATTTGTTGCTTTTCACCTGCATATCTTCCATATCTTTGTGGGAAATCAGACATATATCATCGGCGAAGTCGAAATCGTCCAAGTTTTTTGTATGGGTTCATTTTATGTCTGTTTCCTCATTGCCTGCGTCATAAAAAGCACCTCAAACAAACTACATTAACAGCTGTCTTCACTCAATACTCAAGATCAGATGGCCGGCCAGAAAAGATCAGCAATAGGGATCTCTGGCAATGAGCGAACCACCCAGGAACCGATTGTGAAACAAATAGGCAGGAAGAAATGGAGATGGATTGGCTGGCCATACTCTGAGGAAACCATCAAGTGACATCACTAGACAAACCATTGCTCGAGTGGAACCCGAAAGGGAAGCGGCAAGTTCGTCGTCAGTGCGAGGGTAACTTGGAGGAGGTCATGTGAAGAGGAGATGAAAGCGTGTGGGCAGACTTGGAGCAGGGTGAAAAAGTTGGCAGAAAACCGAACACAATGGAGCCGCGCGACAGAAGCCCTATGTTCCTCTAGGAATTAAAAATAATAATAATAATAATAGTAATAGTAATAATAACGTCAATAAGTGACAGGTATTATTTCAGTGTAACACTATACACCAGTATAGAGCTGAGGAAATAAGTGGAAAGGAATACATATACTTCGTCGCTCATTTGGTTGTTGTTTTTTTTCTCAATGTATATATGAAATTTTTTTTACATTACTAAACTATTTTTATTTGAAAACCGTTTTTCACTATTTATCATTGGGAATATCTAAAAAAGGAGAGAGGGAGAGAGAGATTGAAGAGCTTAGTGAATAGCTGTTCGAGAACTGTTCATATGTGTTACATACCTTTTGTTTTCCTCCTTATCAATGAAATTTTTTCAACATTCTTTACTAATCTAATTTCTTATCACATACCAAAAAAGAAAAACACATGCAAATCATCTCTGTTCATTGTATTACTATTACATTTATGTATTCTTATTTTATGGAATAGTTTGTGTAAGGTAATAATAAACAGCCTGAACTTTGCTTCATCAGTGTCAATCAACCAGCCAGGTGTAGATAAGAATAAAAAAAAATTTCCTTTACAAAAAGAACATCAGCTGATGTTCAAATTTACAGATATACATGTATGTATGTACGGAACTACTTCTAGTGTATGATAGAAATGTCGACCAATTTACGATCCTTTTTATTTATCGTTTGTTATTACATGAATATCAAGTGAATTATTGTATGTCAGTAGTTCAAGGGTAGAATGATTTCCCAATCAAGCACGTGACTGTGTTTCAGCATAGACAGAACTTTGTACACAAGTGCAGAAGTTCACGCAGTTACACTTCATGTAGCACATAAAGGTATATAGAAGAGAGAAAGTAAGGGATTAAAAAGGATTACAGTAAACACAGTGCGTCGGTGGCATAGCAGTTAGGACGCTCGCCGACCATCCACATGGTCCGGGTTTCGATTCCCGGCCACAAACGCACTCCTTTACCTCGCTAAGCCAGAAACAATGCTGGTAAAGACGAAAGGTTGGGCATGAGGCTAGCAATACCATCCTGTAAAATAAACACTGCTACAGAAACTTCAAGCCACTAGCTTGAAGGCCTATGTTCCACTGGGAACGTGAAGGAAAAAAAACAGAAAAGAGAAATCGGAGGAGAGAGAAATATTAACTTGGGAAAACATTAAGATTTATTGGATATGTAAGATCACTGAGAGTGAATACATGCGGTTCGAGTTCGATTCTCGGTCATGACACTACTAAACTTGAATTAGCCTACCACAGGAAGCTAGGTAAAAGAGGTTAGATTGGGTGTAAGTCTAGCAACCCCGCCTCCATGAGAAAACTAAACACCGCAGCTATTGAAACTCCTAAGCTCATGCTTAACGCTGTATATTCTGCTCAGGACTCAAAGGAATTAAAAAAGGGAGTTATAAATTTTTGTTTATACAGACAATAAAAATATAATGAATATTTTTTTCAGAAGGAAAAATGATAGAATGAGTACAAACCAAAGGATGAATACAAATCAAGGGTACAATTTAAGTAATCAGTACCAGATTATATATGACAAACTGTTATCGCGAGTTAAAGCTGACGATACTACCCAGTTGTTCAGAGTGAAGTAGACAGAGTGAGATTTAAGCTCAGGACCCGTTGACTAAACTCTAAGTATTCAAGTCAATGACCCAAGCTTATACTTTAAGCCGTTACTCTTGAGTAATAAATGCACAGTCTGGTTCCATGCATAACACTATGAAACACTACCTAACATGTATAACCACTGTTCATGAGCTTAGATTACTTCATGGACGAGAATAAACCAACAATCTGTAACCAATCTATAGCTAATCTACCATGATAGCATTATGCTAATGTACTCTGTCTAA